GTGTGTATATATTAGGGTTATTAAACGATCATTTTTAAACAAATAATCGTTTCAGAAACGATTATAAATTTGGACAGTCATTAATCGATAATCGATTTCAGTGGAATTTTGTAATGAGAGCGCTGATTTGTAAGAGTTAACGTACAACACGCACAGTGCGTGCAACTAATTGTTTCAGAGGCAGCCGCCATATTGTTCCAACGGATAGGCCTAAATTGTCTGCGTGGTTAACACGTGCCCTCAATTCTCCGTTTGAAAGGTAAAGATGCAGCCCTGCAATTGCCCACATCACAGCCAAACGGAAGTGCCTCCACGAGAGGGAGCTCGAGAGGGTAAGGTAGTATTCTATTTCACGAGGGCGAAGTGTTTGTGGAAGAGGTGACGTGTACTGTCTTCGACACTTTATCCCACACACGAACTATAAGAATTAATTGACTGGTTTTAACCATTTACTGTATATTTATGTATTGACAAGAGGCGGAGGGAATTACAAAACATGACCATTGTTTCCACTGCCGTGCCAAAATAGTAAATGTAACGGTGGCAAGTCCACCTTGCTAATCATTATATCAGGGCAGCTCCATGTCTCAATGAAAAAAGGTAAAATTGTATGTTCATTGCGAGACATGTGTAGAAAAGAGGTAACATTTTTTTAAACCAATTACCGGCATGAAACTGGCTACCATTCGCCTTTTCGGCCTCCACATGAGTTTGCAAACAGCACTATCCCCAACAATCTGTCAAAGGCTATACAAGAGGTGTTTGTATATGTGGGCTATATGTTGGCAACGGTGGTGCAACAGCCTCAACAGCATCGGATGCGACGACCTCTTGACTGCGATGTAAACCTTGCGACCCGACTAGTACCAAATGGCATCAAAGCCTTCCCTGAGCTTGACATCGGTCCACTCTTCTTTAAATAAGTGCCTGGTGTTGTGCGTAAACATTGGCAAGACACTGGTGGCCATTCGTGGTTCTGATCTTTGGAGTCTTTGTGTGCGTGTGTATATATACCGTGTGTGTGTGTGCGCGCACATATTTCTGTCTGCATATGTGAAGTGTATTGTGGGGAATGGTGGCGCACTGCGCCACGACCCGCGTTCAATTCCCGTTCACAGCCAATGTCGGTGACGAATAGGTGAATGTGAACCGGTCTTGGGCCTCCCCTAAGTTGACTCAACCTTATATGACTACCTGGTCTGGTGTTTAAACATCAGGAGTGGGGAGACAAAGGCGGCCGGGCGTGGTCCTGGTCACCCACCCATGTCGGCTTTCATAGGTGCTCCCTCAGATCACTTGCTTCAACAATCTGTTCAAGACTATATTGAGGATCTTTGTCATTGTGTATGTGGTGCAGTAGTTCAAGCACTCAATAACCCAGTAACCTGAGTATGAATCCCTCCCACGGATAATAGTAGTGGTAAACAGTATCTGAAATTTCCCATCGCTGTTTAAACTAAGTAGAAGACAGCGTTCCCTGTGCCAGTTATAAATTTAAGAACTTCGAGAGATAGGTGATCGCTAACAGCACTAGCCCCAACAATGTATGACAATATTAGGATCTCTTTTATATTGTATTCATTTGTATGTATTCAAGTTTGCTTTGTTTGCCCATGGTGTTATGGACGGATGCTATTGGTGGATCCTATTGTTGCCATGCATTTCCTGTCCACAGATAAATGCAAATAATCAGACGAACTTGGCACCATTTCTAGGTTACTTTGCTTATCCGAGAAGAACCATAGGCTTCAACGAATAATTCAGTGCTTTTGGGAAACCATTTCTAGTAATTACTCATCCGCAGATTATAACAAGAATTTTTCACCATTTCCATGTTGACCCCCTTATCTGCGAAGTCCAGATAAAATGATTTAGCACTTCCAAGAGTCCACTCACACGAGATGTATGTGAGGCAAATCGCAGATAATAGGATGGATTTAATGCAATAACACCAGTGCCACATGCACCTACTGTGCTCCACGGACTTTGGCGTTTCTCAACCTTTAAATAAGCAACTGAGGCACCGTGTAAACATTAGCGCTAGCTGTGGTGCAGATCAAACTACTCATCTATCTTGGCAACCGTAATAGGCGCTTACTAACATCATTGTTCAGAGGTCTGTTGGGGAAAACGTGGGAATTTTCATAAAACCCTGTACCCCGTGCATTATCAGTGTATATGTATAACATTAACACGCACGAGCTAAATGTAATTTTATTACAATAACACAAAGTTACTTGCAACAAATTACTCCCCTCCACTAATTGTACAAGTGATAAATTAAAACAGCATCGCACAGTCGTATGCACACGCATACAGTGCTGACTACTCGCCTCTAAAATTAAGCATCACCACCCAGGGGAGATGTTGCTTGAGACAGCGGGTGGCGAGCGGCCAGCCGCGAGGTTGATAGTTGGAGGTTAAGTCCCTGGTCACGACTCAGTGGTGGGGACCCTGGGCACTGATGAGAGAGTGCCACTCGAATGTGTCATCTGAGTAGACCTAGAGGGTGGCCAGACCACTCACACACTCGCTGCCTTCCCAGTGATTAATGTACACTGAGTCTGATTAATTACTTTTTGAGGGCACTGGAGTTTACAGTGTGGATGTTATCCAAGTCTCCCTGCTCAAACAAATATGGGGTGGAGCAATGAGCACAGTAGAAATTCCACATTATCATGGTGGAGTTAGGTATCTGCATTGGATGACAAATTATTTCTCTCTCACTCCTTATGATGCCCATGTTGGTAAACACTGCAATGCTCAGCAAGCAATGCTGAGGTACTGGATTCAAGCCATGGGCTGGGTGTATATGTTTCACATTTTATGTGGCTGGCTCAGGTTTCTCCATAGGATGACCACCATTGACATCCCACGAAGTGATGTCGCTAATTTTACCGACCCCGGAGTGATCATCATGATGATGATCATCATCAATCAGATATTCATTTCAGAACCGACCCCTGAACAGGATTTGATCCCCACAATATTCTACAACAAAAACACATTTTTGTTATAAAAAAGTAAACTGGTGTGACAGTGCACGCTTGTTTTCCAGCACTTTGGTGACAAGGCTTGGTTGAAGCCCACCGAAATCCGAGACTTACAAACCAACGTCATTGCAATGTGGCCAGGAGATGGCAGTGCAGCAAGTGGGTTTGTGCACCCATCTGTATGGAACTTTAGTGTTATACCCACATATGCGTGGTGGGTTTTTCTGCGGGTACTGTTTTTCCCCCCACATAAAGCACTCATTAAAGGCACTTGCCAAATATCTCGGTGTATAATAAAGGACTGAAAAAGTCTCGTGACTCAAGTGAGTCCTTCATTGACAAATGCTATTTCATATTTGATACATATATAACGCACCCAATAAAATATGACTGTATTCTCCTATTTTATTACATCATTCCTATTTATATCCGTATAATCAAATTACCTGTTAACCCATTATGTAATAAACTAGACAGTGATATTATGCTTGAACAAACAGTCATAAACATCTCTTGTTTGCTATCCCGAAGATAAAGCGCAGCGTCTGAAATTGCTAAAACGTTTGAGTGAAAATATTTGTAAAATCCACGTTAACCACATAAAAGAGCCCAGTTTTTTCATACGGCAACAATTACTATGTCGTTATTACTACGAACACGATTGTTTGTTATTGCATGGCCCTTCAGTGGGGTCGATTTTTTAAAAACTAACATCACTTTGCGGAAATTCAACATACTGTGTGCAAGGGACTATGCCCCAAATACGCAAGACGGTGGGATCTCGATGGGGTTCATAGCTGGTCAAATAAAGGATGTCGACCCTGAAGAACGAATCTCAATGGGCGCTCCTGGTAAAATGATGTCAGTCACAGGGGGATAATCTCAAAGGAGCCTTTCTCCTGGTTAAATAACGTAAATCACAGGAGGTGATGATGATGATGATGATTCTCAGAGGGCTTATTTTACCTGGTTAAGTAAATGACACCAACCACAAGAGATAATTAACCTCGGTGGACTTAAAAACAAGATATGGACGTCACAAAAAACCACGAATATCGATGGGTTCTTACCTGGTTAAATAAACTATGTTGATCACAAGATATAATGAACCTGGGTGGTCTCTTACCTGGTTAAATAAAGGATGTTAATCACAAGAGATCAATGGACTCTTACCTGGTTAAATAAACTATGTTGATCACAAGATATAATGAACTTGGGTGGTCTCTTACCTGGTTAAATAAAGGATGTTAATCACAAGAGATTAATGGACTCTTACCTAGTTAAATAAACTATGTTGATCACAAGATATAATGAACCTGGGTGGCCTCTTACCTGGTTAAATAAAGGATGTTAATCACAAGAGATTAATGGTCTCCTACCTGGTTAAATAAACTATGTTGATCACAATATATAATGAATCTGGGTGGCCTGTTAACTGGTTAAATAAAGAACCGTCCGTTGATATATATCGACATGTCCTCGAACTCGTATTCGGCTAAACTCAAAGCATATTTTACTGGATAGTGAATATAAATGAGTCACACTTGTTCAACTTACTTTCGAGGTAAATGTTTAAACTAACACCGAAAATAAAAGTTGCACGCCTTACCTAAAGTCCCGTTAGGTTCACAATGCACGGTATGTTAATTACTTCAGGCGCGTATTAAATATTCATTTAAATCACCTCATACCATATATTTTTAAATCATTTGTGATCAATTATTCAGTTACTTTTAAAGCAAAAATATACATGTTCTCCACGCAAAGCGTCCGTACAGTACTGCCTCGTGTACCACTCGAATGCCCTCGTATGTAGTAACACGTGCACTGCCGAGGGTTATTTAAAATCTTTATATACAATAGCGACGATGCTAACATTGCCCTCACGACCCATGCATTTAACGAATACAAACATTTCCTAACTTTGCATTTAAACTCGCAAAAAAACAGCAACATTTACCACAAACGTACGATGTTTAAAAAAAAAAGCCACACTTTGTTTATTACCTCAGGCGTCGAGAAATATCTTTGCCGCTAACATTGCTCCCGCGAACAACTTTTACACGCCAGCGAGACCATCGCCGTCGTCGTCGTGAGCATAACTATCACGAATGGTTTTGTTATTATTATTAGGAATTTTTATTTTATTAAATTGCAACTCTTTTTGAGGCTACGCGAATTGTTCCGCGGGCGAGGAGCGACTGTGGCCGCGGCTCGCGCGGCGCTCAACACCGCGAGCCCAGAAGCCGCCGCGCTCGTGCGCACGCGGTGGGGGCGGGGGGGCGAGGGGCGGGGCGGGGGGGGTGTAGCAGGGCGGGGCCGGGTGAGGGAATAGCTGGGCGGGGTGAGGGATAGCAGGGTGGGGGTGGGGGATAACGGGGCAGGGCGGGGTGGGGTGGGGTGGGTAGCGGGGGTGGGGGATAGCAGGGTGGGGGTGGGGGATAACGGGGCAGGGCGGGGTGGGGGGGTAGCGGGGGTGGGGGATAGCAGGGTGGGGGATAACGGGGCAGGGCGGGGTGGGGGTAGCGGGGGCGGGGGATAGCAGGGTGGGGGTGGGGGATAACGGGGCGGGGTGTGGGGGGTAGCGGGGGTGGGGTGGGAGGATAGCAGGGTGGGGGCGGGGGTGGGGGCGGGTGTGGGGGATATCAAGGCGGGGTGTAGACGGGGTGGGGGATAGCGGGGCGGGGTGGGGTGGGGGATAGCGGGGCGGGGCGGGGGGGATAGCGGGGCGGGGTGGGGTGGGGGATAGCGGGGCGGGGCGGGGTGGGGGGTAGCGGGGCGGGGCGGGGTGGGGGGTAGCGGGGCGGGGGTGAATAGAAAGGGCGTGAAACTAACGGCGCGAGGCCACGCGCCCCGCGCGCCCCGCCCTCTCCCCGTGAGGCTCACCTCGAGCCACGCCTCGCCAGCCCCCAGCCATTGCCTCACCCCCCCAGCCATTGCCTCGCCAGCCCCCAGCCATTGCCTCGCAAGCCCCCAGCCATTGCCTCGCAAGCCCCCAGCCATTGCCTCGCCAGCCCCCAGCCATTGCCTCACCACAAATAGAATAAGTTATAGGGATCTGCCCCACCAATCGCCGTACAATATAAAGGCGGCATGGTCACAACAACAACAACATGCGTCCATGTGACACCGCTACGAGCCACCCTGGTTCTATTCTATCTACGGTGAATGTATACTGTAATACATTTTAGTCCCATTGTATATAGGTGCGTTGTGTAAACATCGCCAAAGAAGATTAGCTGAACTGGTCCTGGCCATCTTTTAGGTTGACTCAGCCTCAAATAAGTACCATTAGGAAGACAAAGGCGGCCGGGCGTGGTGCTGGCCACCCACCACCACTCCTCGTGCGCCGTGCCGGCCTTCATAGGTGTTCGCAAACAGCACTTGACCCCTACAGTCTTCTACAGGCTATGGGGGGGGGGGGGGGCTTTGTATCCTTGTGTGTGGAGGAGACTCGTTGAAGGAGGCTCCGGGCAGTCGCCCTCCAACAACAGCGGAGGGCAGAGGAGCCCGGAGCAAGTTGGAGCAGTAGGAAGCACAGGGGGTGCAATCTGCCCATAATCTCAGTCAACCCATGGCCACCTGGGTCTGTCCTGTGACCTGCACCTAGCCTGGCACAGCAGCCAACCCATGGCACCTGGGTCTGTCCTGTAACCTCCTCCTGCACCTAGCCTGGCACAGCAGCCAACCCATGGCACCTGGGTCTGTCCTGTGACTTCCACCTGCACCTAGCCTGGCACAGCAGCCAACCCATGGCACCTGGGTCTGTCCTGTGACTTCCACCTGCACCTAGCCTGGCATAGCAGCCAACCCATGGCACCTGAGTTTGTCCTGTGCCTTCCACCTGCACCTAGCCTGGCACAGCAGCCAACTCATGGCACCTGGGTCTGTCCTGTGACTTCCACCTGCACCTAGCCTGGCAAAACAGCCAACCCATGGCACCTGGGTCTGTCCTGTGACTTCCACCTGCACCTAGCCTGCCACAGCAGCCAACCCATGGCACCTGGGTCTGTCCTGTGACTTCCACCTGCACCTAGCCTGGCACAGCAGCCAACTCATGGCACCTGGGTCTGTCCTGTGACTTCCACCTGCACCTAGCCTGGCACAGCAGCCAACCCATGGCACCTGGGTCTGTCCTGTGACTTCCACCTGCACCTAGCCTGGCACAGCAGCCAACCCATGGCACCTGGGTCTGTCCTGTGACTTCCACCTGCACCTAGCCTGGCACAGCAGCCAACCCATGGCACCTGGGTCTGTCCTGTGACTTCCACCTGCACCTAGCCTGGCACAGCAGCCAACCCATGGCACCTGGGTCTGTCCTGTGACTTCCACCTGCACCTAGCCTGGCACAGCAGCCAACTCATGGCACCTGGGTCTGTCCTGTGACTTCCACCTGCACCTAGCCTGGCACAGCAGCCAACCCATGGCACCTGGGTCTGTCCTGTGACTTCCACCTGCACCTAGCCTGGCACAGCAGCCAACCCATGGCACCTGGGTCTGTCCTGTGACTTCCACCTGCACCTAGCCTGGCACAGCAGCCAACTCATGGCACCTGGGTCTGTCCTGTGACTTCCACCTGCACCTAGCCTGGCACAGCAGCCAACCCATGGCACCTGGGTCCGTCCTGTGACTTCCACCTGCACCTAGCCTGGCACAGCAGCCAACCCATGGCACCTGGGTCTGTCCTGTGACTTCCACCTGCACCAAGCCTGGCACAGCAGCCAACCCATGGCACCTGGGTCTGTCCTGTGACTTCCACCTGCACTTAGCCTGGCACAGCAGCCAACCCATGGCACCTGGGTCTGTCCTGTGACTTCCACCTGCACCTAGCCTGGCACAGCAGCCAACCCATGGCACCTGGGTCTGTCCTGTGACTTCCACCTGCACCTAGCCTGGCACAGCAGCCAACCCATGGCACCTGGGTCTGTCCTGTGACTTCCACCTGCATCTAGCCTGGCACAGCAGCCAACCCATGGCACCTGGGTCCGTCCTGTGACTTCCACCTGCACCTAGCCTGGCACAGCAGCCAACCCATGGCACCTGGGTCTGTCCTGTGACTTCCACCTGCACCTAGCCTGGCACAGCAGCCAACCCATGGCACCTGGGTCTGTCCTGTGACTTCCACCTGCACTTAGCCTGGCACAGCAGCCAACCCATGGCACCTGGGTCTGTCCTGTGACTTCCACCTGCACCTAGCCTGGCACAGCAGCCAACCCATGGCACCTGGGTCTGTCCTGTGACTTCCACCTGCACCTAGCCTGGCACAGCAGCCAACCCATGGCACCTGGGTCTGTCCTGTGACTTCCACCTGCATCTAGCCTGGCACAGCAGCCAACCCATGGCACCTGCGTCTGTCCTGTGACCTCCTCCTGCACCTAGCCTGGCACAGCAGCCAACTCATGGCACCTGGGTCTGTCCTGTGACCTCCTGCACCTAGCCTGGCACAGCAGCCAACCCATGGCACCTGGGTCTGTCCTGTGACTTCCACCTGCATCTAGCCTGGCACAGCGGTCACCCCATGACACCTGGGTCTATTCCTTGACCTCCTGCACCTAGCCTGGCACAGCAGCCAACTCATGGCACCTGGGTCTGTCCTGTGACCTCCTTCTGCACCTAGCCTGGCACAGCAGCCAACCCATGGCACCTGGGTCTGTCCTGTGACTTCCACCTGCACCTAGCCTGGCACAGCAGCCAACCCATGGCACCTGGGTCTGTCCTGTGACTTCCACCTGCACCTAGCCTGGCACAGCAACCAACCCATGGCACCTGGGTCTGTCCTGTGACTTCCACCTGCACCTAGCCTGGCACAGCAGCCAACCCATGGCACCTGAGGCTGTCCTGTGACTTCCACCTGCACCTAGCCTGGCACAGCAGCCAACCCATGGCACCTGGGTCTGTCCTGTGACTTCCACCTGCACCTAGCCTGGCACAGCAGCCAACCCATGGCACCTGGGTCTGTCCTGTGACTTCCACCTGCACCTAGCCTGGCACAGCAGCCAACCCATGGCACCTGGGTCTGTCCTGTGACTTCCACCTGCACCTAGCCTGGCACAGCAGTCAACCCATGGCACCTGGGTCTGTCCTGTGACTTCCACCTGCACCTAGCCTGGCACAGCAGCCAACCCATGGCACCTGGGTCTGTCCTGTGACTTCCACCTGCACCTAGCCTGGCAAAACAGCCAACCCATGGCACCTGGGTCTGTCCTGTGACTTCCACCTGCACCTAGCCTGGCACAGCAGCCAACCCATGGCACCTGGGTCTGTCCTGTGACTTCCACCTGCACCTAGCCTGGCACAGCAGCCAACCCATGGCACCTGGGTCTGTCCTGTGACTTCCACCTGCACCTAGCCTGGCACAGCAGCCAACCCATGGCACCTGGGTCTGTCCTGTGACTTCCACCTGCACCTAGCCTGGCACAGCAGCCAACTCATGGCACCTGGGTCTGTCCTGTGACTTCCACCTGCACCTAGCCTGGCACAGCAGCCAACCCATGGCACCTGGGTCTGTCCTGTGACTTCCACCTGCACCTAGCCTGGCACAGCAGCCAACCCATAGCACCTGGGTTTGTCCTGTGACTTCCACCTGCACCTAGCCTGGCACAGCAGCCAACCCATGGCACCTGGGTCTGTCCTGTGACTTCCACCTGCACCTAGCCTGGCACAGCAGCCAACTCATGGCACCTGGGTCTGTCCTGTGACTTCCACCTGCACCTAGCCTGGCACAGCAGCCAACCCATGGCACCTGGGTCTGTCCTGTGACTTCCACCTGCACCTAGCCTGGCACAGCAGCCAACCCATGGCACCTGGGTCTGTCCTGTGACTTCCACCTGCACCTAGCCTGGCACAGCAGCCAACCCATGGCACCTGGGTCTGTCCTGTGACTTCCACCTGCACCTAGCCTGGCACAGCAGCCAACTCATGGCACCTGGGTCTGTCCTGTGCTTTCCACCTGCACCTAGCCTGGCACAGCAGCCAACCCATGGCACCTGGGTCTGTCCTGTGACTTCCACCTGCACCTAGCCTGGCACAGCAACCAACCCATGGCATCTGGGTCTGTCCTGTGACTTCCACCTGCACCTAGCCTGGCACAGCAGCCAACTCATGGCACCTGGGTCTGTCCTGTGACTTCCACCTGCACCTTGCCTGGCACAGCAGCCAACCCATTGCACCTGGGTCTGTCCTGTGAC